GGAAAAAGGACAAGAGCATGGTAAAGAAGAGAGCATGGGCTTGCGTGTGTGTGTGTGTGTGTGTGTGTGTGTGTGTGTCTTGTGTAGCGTATAGTGATTTTGGCCCAGACATCTGGTTTGGGGCAGCTTCCTCAGGATCCCTGAATCAAAGATTGCTAGCAGCTGGAGGCCTCTTAGAGCTAAACATGCCTTACCTATCATTTTACAGCACTGAAACTGATGAAATTATTTTATAGGAATCACACAGTCAAAGAACCGGGAACACTGAGATATCTTTTGTTGTCCTGTCTTTTAAAATCCTCCTGTTTCCAGGAGAGCAAAAAGAACAGCTTTTTATGAGAATACAACAGTAGGAAACACTGAAAGCCTCCAAAACCTCTTCCATTTGGTAAGTGGATAAACTTTTTTAAAAATAGGGTCCAGGCTAGTCAAGCTCACTATGTAGCCCAGGTTGGTCTCAAACTCACAGCAATCTTCCCGCCTCAGCCTCCCAAATACTAGGATTACAAATGTGTGCCACCACACCAGGCGCCTAGTAGATAAATTTATGTGAATGTGTCTGAGAAGTTTTTTGGGTTCTGTAGGTACAATTAGGATTACGAGTATCCTCAGACATGGATATAGGGGATAGCAGATATGGACCTAGGATGCGGCCGTGTGGGGGATTCTACCATTTCCACAAAGTTAAGGTGTTAATGGTAAATCAGGTGTGGTAGCTCATACCTATAATGCCAGTACTCAGAAGGCTGAGGCAGGAGAATTGTTGTCAGTTCAAGACCAGCCTGAACTGCCTAGTGAGACCCGGTCTCAAAAAGATTTTTTAAAAAAGTGTTAATGATTAAGTCAGCAACTTTTTACTGTTGTGTTCAACTTTGGACAAGGAAGGAAGAGGAGGAAGAAAGGAAGGAAGGTAAAAAGAAAAAAGGGAAACGTTAGGAGTCCTGAGACTTTTTTTTCCAAGAGATCTAGAGATTTGGATTTATAGAACTCTGTACTACCAACTCTTTGACAAATAGAGCTGTTTCATCTTTTCTTTAATATTTCTAGGGCTGGGGAGATGGCTCAAGGGCTGGGAGATGGCTCAGTAGAATAAGCGCTTGCCTGGCAAGCTCAAGGGCTTGAGTTCAATCCCTATTTCTGAAAAAAGGGGAAAAAAAAATTCTACCCTTCCTCTTCCCAACACCCTCCCTTCCCAGAACTCATGAATGTCTGACTCCCTGAGTTCTGTGTAGACACATGAAAACCTGCTTTGGGGATCAAAGGAAAGGGTTCTGGGCCTGGTGTCACTTGATGTGGCTGCAAAAAAGAAACTAAGTTAACATCAGGCTACTACTGTTTTTTTTTTTTTTTAAAGAGCATATTTTTTCTTTTTATTAATTACTTTGACACATAATTGTACAGCTTATGGTTTGCAATGTGTTATTTTGATAATGATAAAAACTGTAAAGGGCTGGGGATGTAGCTCAGCGGCATGACACCTGCCTGAGTTTGATTTCTGATTCCCAAAAAAAATAAAACCCACTGTGTAATGATCCTATCAGGGCAATGACTGTATCTATCAATTCAAACATTTGTAATTTCATTGTCCTGAAACGTTCAAAATCTAATTACTTTAAAATGACTATTTGATGACTAGAGTCACATCACCCTACTATGCAAAACTTAAAGATAGAAGCACAATGAGGTCCAAGTGCATAACTTGTCTCACAAAGAAAAGATCTTTAACAGCTGAAATATGAATGAATTTGGTAACAAATAGTCGGGTTTCAGCCAAACACAAACATCAAAGCACCAGCCAATCCAAGGTCATGTCCACCCAAGGCAAAGGCCTCACTGTACCTAAGAAAATCATTTATATTTTTAATTTTTTTTTAATGTATTTAGTACATGGGGGCTGGTGAGATGGCTCAGTGGTCTAAAGCACCTACTTAGAACAAGCTAAGCCAAGCAAAACACAGGGACCGCAGTTCAATCCCCCAGCACCACATGCCAGACAGCCCCGCCCCCTGGTGGGTTGAGCTGGCCACACAAAATAAAATAAATAAATAAATATTATTAAAAAAATGTATTTAGTACAGGGTCTCCAGGGTCTCGCTACACAGATCGGACTCACAGTGATCTTCCTATTTTCAGCCCCCCCCCAAGTACTGGGATTATAGACATGTGCCACCACGCCCAGTCTCAATCGCAGTCTCTGCATGCCCCAGGGGTGAGGCCGGTACAGCACACTGGGGATCCAACTGGTCCCTGCATCTGCCTAAGCAGGCACTTTTTTTTTTTTTTTTTTGTTCCTCGAATGCCTTCAGGGCACTTTTGGCCAGCGGGAGAGGTGTAAGGTTCGAACTCCAGCAACCTAAAGCTGACAGCTTTGTGGAAGCAGCCACTTAAAGGCCTGAGCTAGGGCCAGGCCCTCTAAGCAGGCACTTTAATCCACTGAGCTATGTGGCTGGCCCTCAAATCATGTCTGTACTTTATTTTTGGGTTCGGCTACAAAATAGAGCCCTCTGACCCCCTTCCATTTTGAGTAGTATCTCATTCCTAAATTGTTTTTTGCTCAATTACTTTTGTCCAAGGCTTTTCTTTCAACATGTAAGCACCCAGAATCTCATTCTTTTTCACAGAATTAGCAGGTATGTATCACCTGCTTCTTTTCTGATCATTTGTTTCATTGTTTGTTATTTTTAGTTGTTGGACCGTTCAAAACTTCTGTCTTAGCTGGATGTGGTGGTGCATGCCTGTAATCCCAGCACCCAGGAGGCTGAGGCAGGAGGGCCTCTGAGAATTTATGTCCTGCCAGGGCTACCTAGTGAGATTACAGCTAGCCCAAACTACATAGTAAGACCTTGTCTCAAAAAACAAATCCTCCAAAAATAATTTCTATCTGAATTAGGAAGATTAATGTTATCCATGGAGAATTCACAGGTAATGCTGTCATCCTTATCTTCAGACTGTGCTCTGAGTTGTCTTGGGAACTCTTTTAACCATTCTTTTCTTTAATTTTTATGTATTTGGTACAGTATCTCACTATACAGCTTGAACTCTTAGTGATCCTTCTCTTTCAGCCTTCCTAGTGCTGGGATTACAGGTGTATGCCATCAGGCCCAGTCTCAGTGGCCTGCTGGGGGTGGGGCTGAGGGTGGGGCCAGCACAGCATGTGGTGCCTGGGATCAAACCCTGGGCTTTGCATTGCCAGGCAGGTGCTTAGCTGAGCTATCTCCACTGCTCTGTCTTTTTCTTTTAACTCTGCCACATCCATTTGTACAACTTTGTCCAGGGTCCCATTAACACTTTTAATAGTGTAAGGACCAGGGGGAGGGGCTTCCACTTCTTAGCTTCTCATTTGCCTGGGCCATCAGTGGGAAAAGGCCCTGAATTTGGTCTAGTAATACACGGCTCTGTATTGCAACTGTTTGAAGAGTAGGGTTTTTCAAGAATTAGGTTTAGAGTTGATGAACAGCTTATCCCAGGTACCGCCTGTGGACTGCAGTCAGCAGTGCTTTGGACACTGAGCCCTCCAGGCTTTCCCTGGTGGGGGCTAAGGGACTGGCCACAGACCTCTGTGCCTGTGCAGCCAGCAGGCCGGGCTACTACTTTTTTTTCTTTTAAGTTTATTTATTTTATTTAGTGTGTGTGTGTGTGTGTGTGTGTGTGTGTGGCCAGCTCAGCTCACCTGGGGGCGGGGCTGGCTGGCATGTGGTGCTGGGGGATTGAACCACAGTCCCTGTGCTTTGCTAAGCTTGTTCTAAGTAGGTGCTTTAGACCACTGAGCCATCTCACCAGCCCCCCCCCCCTTTTCTTTTTTTTTTGTCTTTTTGAGACAGGGTCTCACTATGCAGTTCAGGCTGGCCTCCAACTCTCAGTGATCCTCCTGCCTCAGCCTCTGGAGTGCTGGGATTGCAGATGTGCCCCATCACGCTGGCTGGCTCAGGCTACTACTCTTAACGGGCTTCGGGGGTGACCTCTGAGGGCTCCCTGGGGGAAGCAGTTTCAGTCTGCAAATTCCTTCTGGGACAAGGACAGTGGATGGCTTAGAAGAGCATAGCAACTGGGTAATTATTATGTGCTTTTGATGATAAGGAAGATATTATTAGGCAATTTGAGGGTTCAAAAAAATATTGCAGTGGTGAATCGCGCTAGAAGAGCCTCCCCAGTGAGTTCCTCAGTACCCCCGAATTCCTTTGGCATAGGGGAAGGTGTTCTGACCAGGTGTTCTGGCCTTCAGACTGAGTCTGCAGCAAGCTCAGCCTGTAAGGGAAACTAGCACTTCTGCCTGCTGAGCTTAAGCGTGAGTTTCTCAGTGCCCCTCATCATCTGTTATTGATTTTTTTTTCCTGTGGCCGGGTGAGCATGCCCAATGGGGCGGGGCTGGAGCAGCCTGTGTTGCTGGGGATCGAAACCCGTCCCTGCGCTTTCCTAAGCTTGCCTGAGCAGGCGCTTTAGACTGCTGAGCTATCTCACCGGCCTGTTATTGATTTGATTGACCAATTGATTGTCAGTCTGGGGATCTAACCCAGAATCTCAGGCATGCTAGGCAAGTGCTCTTGCACCTAGCACATCCCCCGCCCCCTACACGGGCTGGTAAATATTTTTTTGATCATTCCTTTATTAATAAAATGACTATCCTGACTCTTTGCTATTCATGCAAACATATATGCATAGGGTTTTTGTTTCAATGTGTAAAAGGTTTAATTTGAACACGATTAATTTGAACAGGTTGCATTATTTCCCTGTAACTCGCTTCTTCCTCCCAAACAATACATCATGGATGTCTGTCTCTACCGATACCTCGATTTGGTGATTCTTTGTCCCCAGACCTGGGCGGCGCTCTGAGGATCAGCTTTCTGTCTCCTTTTCCTCCTCTTGGCGCTTTGCAGCGGCTTGGCCTCCAGGGAGGACTAGGCTGTGGGCGGGGCAGTGGCCACTCGGGACACGCAGATGAGGTGGGCGGGGCCCTATATAAATCCGCGGGGCGCGTCGGGCTGGCTAGCCCTGCCGACGCAGACTGGCAGAGGCAGCCAGCAGAACCTGGTCCCCGAGTGCCGCGGAGCCTGGGCCGGGCTGGCCCCTCTGCTGCCCCGGACGCGGGCCATGCCGCCGCGGGAGCTGAGCGAGGACGAGCCGCCCCCATTGCGTGCCCCGAGCCCACCTCCGCGGCGGCGCAGCGCACCCCCGGAGCTAGGCATCAAGTGCGTACTGGTGGGCGACGGCGCGGTGGGCAAGAGCAGCCTCATCGTCAGCTACACCTGCAACGGGTATCCTGCGCGCTACCGGCCCACGGCACTCGACACCTTCTCGGGTAGGTCGGCCCCGCGCCGCAGGCTGGGGTGGGGCTGCAACATCTCTCGAGTTGGGGTGGGGGTCTAGAGAAACCCCGGGAGGAAGCGGGAGCGTGCCCAGTGGTGGCGCTGCTGGGGTCCGAGAAGCCCCCCTCATTCGGTACCCTCTGCCCCGCCCTGCAGTGCAGGTCCTGGTGGATGGAGCCCCGGTGCGCATTGAGCTTTGGGACACCGCGGGACAGGTGAGAAGATGCGCGTGTTCGTTGCTGGGTGGGGGCTGGGACTGCGGGAGGGTACTGGAAGGATATCCATCATGAAGCAATAGAGAAGGCCTTGGGCTCCAGGAATCACAGGCTCGGGGATCAAGCAAGAAACAGATTTCTGTTCTATGTGGCTGGGAATTAATAATCCTGCTAACTCCCTGGCCTTGCCATCCCAGGAGGACTTTGACCGACTTCGGTCCCTCTGCTATCCAGACACTGATGTCTTCCTGGCGTGCTTCAGTGTGGTGCAACCCAGCTCCTTCCAGAACATCACAGAGAAGTGGCTGCCTGAGATCCGCACTCACAACCCCCAGGCACCAGTGCTGCTTGTGGGCACCCAAGCCGATCTGAGAGATGATGTCAATGTACTGATTCAGCTGGATCAGGGTGGTCGGGAGGGCCCAGTACCCCAGCCCCAAGCCCAGGGTCTGGCTGAGAAGATCCGAGCCTGTTGCTACCTCGAATGCTCTGCCTTGACGCAGAAGAACTTGAAAGAGGTGTTTGACTCTGCCATTCTCAGTGCTATCGAGCACAAAGCCCGGCTGGAGAAGAAACTGAATGCCAAAGGGGTGCGCACCCTCTCCCGCTGTCGTTGGAAGAAGTTCTTCTGCTTTGTTTGAACAATGAGGGAGGCATAGCAATCAAGTGGTAGCCAGGAGGCCAGAGACTCCTGGAACCTGGGGCAAGGGGCCTTTGAGGGGGTTACTGGCAGGGCCTGGCCACCCCATGGGACTCAGTTCCCTACCGAACACTCGGAATCCATGTCCTGCCTCAGAAGTGGGCTTGTGACTGCCCACTCTAATGAACCAGGATGAGCCTGGAGCCAGGAAGACAGAAGGCTCTGATTTAGATTTCTTTGGCTCACAGAGAAAACCCAGCACTTTTGATTTTCATGGGATGGGCTTAATTAAGAGTGTCAGCCATCTCTGAGCAGTTTGGGACTGAGTTTCCAAGTTTCTTCTGTCAGCCTGATGATGTAGGGCACCTGGTGATGGTCTTCACCCCTGCCTAATACGGGTGAACCTAGGAGAACGGCAGGTCATCTTGGGGGGGATATAAGGTGATCAGCCTTGATTTAGAGAGAAGTTTGGCATAGAGTTGGTTAGACAAGGCCATTGAAAGATTGAGAGAGGAGCAGACATCAAGGCTGGGAGTTGTGGGATAGGAGGCAGGACCTAGAAGGAAAAGGAAGACAAGGAGAACGGGACAGGGAGGCAGCTATGGAGCAGGCTGACACCTGGGCTGCCCTCACTTCCCACAGCCAGGGAAGGCGGGGCTGGGCCCTGGGAAGAACTGGGTCCTAGGACTCCCTAGGCACTGCCCAAACTGGCTAGGCCAGCAGTGGGGCAGGAAGTGAGAGTCAACCCCAGCAAAAGGAGGGGGAGGAGCTGTAAATTAGAGCCTGGAGGAGGAAGGAGAGGGGGTCATCCCTTTCCCCAAGGTCAAGGTTGCACAAACCCTAGAAGGTAAAGCAGCACAGTCTGCAAATAAAACCTTCCATTTCTAAAACTGCTGTTTCTGTCATTTCCTAGCATGGTCAGTTAGCCTGCTGCTCCCCATAACCTTCCTTGACCCCAACACCCCCGTTGGGTAGCAAAGGACTCAGGCTAGATTGAAGGGTGGAGCTGGACCAGGTGGGACAGTGTGATGGAAACAGAACTGGGGGGAGGGGGGCTTCCCACCTGGGACTTGGCTTAGCTGGTTCCCAGGACAGCCAGCGTGGGAAGCAGCTTGGAAACGGGTTTCCCCAGGTGTCAGCGCCAGAGCTGCTTTCCCATGACCTCACCAGGTGGGTGGGGCCCCTCCCCTCTCCCTCCTTTCCAGAGCAAGGTGCTGGGCTCTGGGGCAATCTCAAGGCCTCTATGGTTTCTGCTGTGATACCTTTGACAGTTCACAGGGCCCAAGGTTTCAGGTTGGGGGACATTCCCCCCATACACACATGGGGAGCCCCACGCAAACTTAAACTTCAACCAACCAGCCATGGGTTGGCTGGACCAGTCCTCAGCGTTGGCACATGAGGAACTAGTGAAGCTAAAGACACTTGTGAACTGTTTAAATACAGTTTGTTCCCAGAAGTCCTGGACATGGGAGATTCATTAGGAGAGCACCTGTCGAGGAGAACATGTGGGGTTGGGGGGAAACAAAACAAAAACCCATCATCTTAGGGAAGGTATGGCCATTAGAAAGCAGGTATTATCTCAAGTGAGATTAGTGCTGAGTGTTTATGAGTGCCTTCAAACTCTCAAGTTGGACACTTGAAGGTTGTTCCTATAGATGTTTTGAAGGGACACCTGCTAGACCACAGCCAGGCCAGGTGAGCACTCACACCCATCCTAGTCCACTGGGCCCAGCCCCCTCCAAAGCTGTAGGTGTGTGTGTAAGAGCATAGCTGAGGGCCACCTATTTGGGACTCCTCCTGTCTCTAAGGAGCTATTTCTGTTCCTTGTTCCCACATTCCTGTTCCCCGTTCCTTTTCTTCAATAAATTTTTCCACTGTCAAAAAAAAAGCATAGGGCCAGGGAGATGGCTCAGTAGAATAAACGCTTGCCTGACAAGCATAAGGGCCTGAGTTCAATCCCTGGTTCCGCCAAAAACTTAAAAAAAAAAAAAAAAAAGCATAGCTCAAGGACACAAAGGCTAGGCAAGTGAAACCTCTGCTGCTCCCCCAGTTGCTTGCCTCCTATCCTCCAGAGCAACAGCCACCTATTCCCTTGTGGTCGCCTCAGTCTCTCAGTGGCGATGCTGAGAGAACCTTCACCTCAGTAGTCAGATTCTGAGAATCCAAGCCTCAGCTCCATGGCTAGCTAGCTGTTTCCTCAGCCCAGCCTGACACACTTTTCTAGGCCAAAGACTCTGGTTCATCTTCAGACATTGACCCATCGCCGAGCAGACTAGAGGTTTTCCAAATGTTCTGAGGGTCTAGGCATAGTGATGCAGGCCAGTAATCCTGGTACCTGGAGGCAGAGGTAGAATTGTCACAAGCTCAAGGCCAGCCTGAGCTACATAGTTCAGATCTTTGGAGGGCCTTTGGAGGTGCCATGGCATCTCTGTCCCCTTCCCTACAGTTTCTTCCCTGACCTTTTTTTTTTTTTTTTTGAGACAGGATCTCACTATGCAGTTCAGGCTGCCCTTGAACTCACTTTATAGCCCAGGCTGGTCTCAAACTCACAACCACCCTCCATGTGCCACCACACCCGGCTCTTCCCTGACTTTCTTATGGTTCCAGCACATCCATGAAACCCAAACTAAAGCCTCCCCTCCTGCTGATTCCCCATACCTGGCCAGGACCTGCAGCAGCCTTACTTCTATGGCACTCCTGTCCCAGTCCCCCAGAGTTGCTGCTGTCCTCTGGTACCTCCATGAGTCAAGACTGTAACTTGTTTTGTTTACAGTGGACTCCCAGCTTTTAATTTTGGCATTCAACACTGCCTGGCACTGGACAGCAGCCTGGACCTGACCATCTTGCCCTAGGAACCCCCAGTTATCTTCTGACTTTGATTCTGAGTCTTGGCTCTTGCCAGGTCCCTGGTTTGGAAAATGTCTCCTGCCACCTCCTAGATGCCGTTTCCCAGATGCTAAGCATATTCTGATAACTCCATCCTCCAGGGGGAAATATTACTGGTAATAGTGTCCTTACTTATCTTACAGCACACTAAAGCTTGAGCTTTGTCTACAGAGCAGAACTACAACTCCCCAACCAAAAGGAGAAGGGGAGGGGCAGGGACAGAGACAGAGACAGAGACAGACAGACCTTACTGGGGCCCAGTACGATCCCACAGGACTCTGGCTCAGCTGTTGTTTGCTGCTGGCCCTTAAGTGCTTAGAGATAAAGGGCAGCCCTAGTCCTGGAGGAATCCAGGAAGATCAAGGTCAACTCCAAGTTCAGGTCCAGATTTGCAGCCCCCAGGAAATGGAGGCCGAAGGGCAATGGCTGGAAAGGAACCTGAGCCTCTGTACCGGATGAGGGCTTTACCTCTGCTTCCAAACCCACTGGCTAGCTCCCTAGTTCTATGGCTCTCTGTTAATACAGTATCTCTTTATTTTTTTTGGAACATTTGAACTATTTGGGTTTTTAATTTTTTTTTTTTTAATTTTTTGCCCTGCTGGGGATTAAAACCAGCACATGCTAGACAAGTGTTCCACCACTGAGTTATACCTCCAGCCCCTGAAATCTGCATTTAAAAGAAAATTTAGGGGCTGGGGAGATAGCTTGGCTGTCTAAGAGCCTGCCTGGCAAGCTCAAGGACTCAGGTTCAATCCCTGGTACCCCACTCAATGCCTGCCCCAGAACTCAAGGCCCACCGAACCAGCCACAGAAACCAGGCATGGTGGCGCATGCCTGTAATCTCAGTATTGGGGAGACTGAGACAGGAGGATCACTAGGAGTCCAACCTGCATAGTGAGCCCTGTACCAAATACATAAATTAAAAAAAGAAAAAAAAGTTTATTGTATTATTTAAATAAAACTCTGTTTCATATATATAGTATTCTTAGATATGTCCTTATTAAGGTAAACTGTCTTTAATGTCTATGTAGCCCTTAGTTGAGTTTTAAAAAATAACACTCATTTTTTTTTCTGTAATACTCAGAAAAATTTGAAAATCCAAAGAGGTAGAAAATTTTTAAAATCCCTTTATATATATATATTTTTTTGTTTGTTTGTTTGTTTGTTTTTTGTTTTTTGTTTTTTGTGTGGTACCAGGGATCAAACTCAGGACCTTGCACTTGTCAGGCAGGCACTTAGGCCACTGAGCTATCTCCCCAGCCCCTATATTCTTAAATCCCTAAGACAATAACAATATTTCGGGGCCAGGGAGATGGCTCAGTAGAATAAGTGCTTCCCTGGCAAGCACAAAGGCCTGAGTTCAATTTGGTAAACTTCCTTTTAGTCTTCCATGTATATTTCTTTAAACACTTTTGTGTGTGTGTGTGATCATACCCTGTACATAATTTTGTGGATTTTTTTTTTCATTTTTAAAGAGCAAACATTTATTTACTTAATATTTCATTCTAGTCAAGTTCTTTGAACTTCAGTTCCTGCTTACCAAATAATTCCAAGTCTTTTAGTATTTTAACAATGTTTTGTCTTGTTCTTATCAACTCTGACTACAAGCTGTAAACACCTCTGTCTGTTACCTGCTTTGTCCTTCCCTGACACTCTTTAACTAGTATATTAGTATATAGACTTACCTCTTCTTCTTCTTCCTCCTCCTCCTTTTACTCTTTCTCTCCTCCTCTTCCTCCTCCTTCTCTTCTTCCTTTTCCTCCCCTCCTCTTCCCCCTTCTTTTCCTTCTCCTTTGTAGTAGGAATTGAACTCTGGACCTCAAGCTTGCTGGGCAGGCCACTGAGCTTCCCCAGCCCTAGATTATCTTCTTTTAACTTTATCCTCTTCTTCTTCTTCTTCTTCTTCTTCTTCTTCTTCTTCTTCTTCTTCTTCTTCTTCTTCTTCTTCTTCTTCTTCTTCTTTTTTTGCCACGAGATGTGTTTTATTTTCATTTAACATACAAATAATTTTCTATAATATCCCAGGGCAAACCGGAGAATTTGGCAGTCCGATTGGGGGTCCCCTCAGAGACCCACGGGCCGGTGGCATCGGCGCGGTATGCCCGAGTTCACAGTGCATCTTGCAAGTGGTTCTTCCTCCACATCATGACTGGGGGGTCTCGGAGATGACGGGGGCGGGGAATTGTCTAGACTCTTAGGAAATCTCACTCCGCTTTTCCTGCTCAATGGTCTTTTTGGTCGGCAGGTTGTTCTTCTCCTGCGTCTCCTTCTTCTTCAGCTTAGCCTTATCGAAGCTGGCGATTTCCCCCATGTCTGGTTTGTCTGCCATTTTCTTGAAACAATCCGAAGTGTTTTGCTCCGAGCCCGAGCTCCTGGTGCTCCCACTCGCGTTGCTGCAGCAAGAGACGAACTTTATCTTCTTTAAATTTTTTTTTTCCTTTTATCGGTATAAATGATACTACATCTACAACTGATTATTATTTTCTGTTATGGGTCATTGACTGTCTATAGAAAATAGTTTTTTCAAAAAAAAGAAAGTAGTTTTCTCCATTTGGCTTGGTGACTGGGCCCCAGCAAAGCCCCAGGTGACCTTGTGAGGGAGCTTGGGTTTCTGTGTGTGTAGATGATGGGGGGCTCCTCTCTGCTCAAGAATGACTAGCAGCCTGTGGGTGTTCAGTAAATACTAAACGATGACAAGGTGGGTATGTGTTTGTCTTCCTGTGTCCCTGATGTCGCTCTTGGGTATTTATAGTGTTGCCTTTGTGGCAACCCAAGCAAGTCCACTATTGTGCGTGTCTGTGAATCTATGTAAAAGCAGGGGGCCTAATTTATGTGTGTCTGTGTGTTCATAACAGGCATAAAAATGTTATATTCAACCATATATGTGCATCTGGGTGCGTGCGTTGGTGTCTGTGCCTGTGTGTGAGTGTGTAGGTGGCCTGGACTGGGGAGCTGTGTGTCTGCATGTGTGTAGACTCAGTCCTTGTGGGTCTGTTGTGGGGGCATCTCCACGAGCATCTGACATGGATGAGTAGGCTGGATCTGGGCCGGTGTGTGCGTGTGCGCATGCGATAATAGCCACATCCCTGTCTTCCCCATGGGAGCCGAGAGGTGCCCAAGGCACAGGTGACGCACC